ATGTGTGCAGTGCATGAAACTCAAGGGGAACATTAGGGTCTTAAATGTTTATCTGCATATAGGAGTAGTAACTGCAAAATTTTCCTCAAGAATTTCTGCCCAAAGAAGTAATTGGTAGAAGTAGCTGAAGCTGAGAGAAGCCTATGAAGTGGGGCGAAGAATGAGACTGCAAGGAAGAAGCCTTCAGCTGAAATTAGGACAAGGGCACTCCTGAGAAGAGGAAGATGCTTGAATGCATTAAGGAGCAGATATTCAAGGAAAGATTCAGAAATACTAAGAGGAAGATTTTTTTTTTCTTGTTTTGAAGGACTTGGAAAGAACTAGGTGAAAATGGTACAATTCAGGAGGCAGAGGAAAGTTCCTGAACTCAAGACTCAAGGAAAGAATCCACCCTGCAAAGGCACAGTGAAGAAAGTAGGGATTTGGGTTTGGCCCTTTTACTCCAGAGAAGATATGATCAGACTATTTCCAACACTCATATCTGTGAAAATTCACTCTATCCAGCCAGAAAGACTTTTCCATCTTGTCTGCCTGGCCATCTCCCATAATCAGAAGCAGAATAAGGTGATGTGATGTTTTTAAAGCCCTCCTTGTCACCAGTGTGACCTCCAGAGAAATACTGAAATATGGTGAAATAGATCAACTTCAATATCTTCTAATTATGAATAATTTTCTTGATTTCTTAATTTCTTTTATATAGATTGAATAGGAATTTTAAAAAATGCTATTTTAACTTGACAATTTTGTGTTAATATTTTAGTTTGCATTTTTTTATTTAACCAGTAATTAGTTTACATTACATATATCTGTTATTGGGTTTTTTGCCTCCAGAGAACTGAAAAGTTTGAGTTTTAATCTCAGATACATTTTCTATTTGCTATTTTTTCTCCTGTATTATTTTTCATGACTTTAAATGTTATTTTTGCATTTTTGTGATTTTAATACCTTTAGCTTGTGGTTTGCAATAAGGTTGTTTATTGTTAGCCCTTCAAGACACTATATTTGGCAAGCTGAACAATATAATCCCTCAAAATGACATGTGGTTCCCAACATACTGAAATAACCAAAGCTTTAAATTCAGCCCTCTAATCATGCAAACGAAATGAGTGAGCCAATTTGCCCAGAACCTAAACATCAGTGCTTGCAGGGTCTGTATTTTCAATTGTAGAAAAAGCCTTCAAGTGCCAAGAAAGAGCACTTTGTGAAGGGAGCTCCTTGTTAGTGGTATTTTTGCTGTCACGTAGAGAGACCCAACTCCAGACCAAGACTCTGTCACACAATGCAGAGACAGAGAATGGGCTGTGCCCCTCGGCATTAAATGTTAAATTTCATTAAAATTTTTTAACATTCAAAAATGTTAATTGGTGTTAAATACTGAAGACTTCCAGTTAGTAAGAAGGTTAAATGGTATTTTTTAATCCTTTGTATCAATATTGGAATATTCTCACTAGTTATGGTTTAATTTCACAGTCCCTCATCATAATTTACAAATCAACAATGAGAAGTTGGTGGCAAAGAATAAGAGATCCAACCTACCAAGGCAAATGAAAGTTTTCCAGCTGGCTGAAATCAAACCAGGAAGTCATCTGAAGGCAAAAGTGAGTGTAATGAGGCCACTGATCTGATTTTAAAGCCAGAGTTTCACATGGAAGGCTCTCACAGTCCTGTCGGCTGCTATCTGACAACTATTTACTAAGCTAAAAGGCAATCTATAAAAATAACCAAACCCATCATTTAAAAGGTGGTGACATTGGTCACTGTGGATTCACAGTGAACACCTCGATGGTGGTTTCGTCAAAATATGAATGCTTTTAAATGTTAAGAAACAATATTTAAAATCAAGTTGCCTTCCTTAGAAGGATGCTAGCCATCAGCACTGCTGTTCCTTTGCTTGATAACATTCTAAAAGTTGCAAGGTCTCCTCATCACTCTGCAAAATAGGTCATAGACAAGAAAGGAGTATAAACCAGAATCTTGAAGAGACAGTGTTTCCAAGCAAAATAGAATATCTCTGGGTTTTTTGTTTGTTTTGTTCTGCCAACTTTAAGAAGGAGAAATGAAAATAAGTGGTGAGAAAAGAATAGCAAAAAATGCCGTTCTCCTCTTACCCTATCCTCTAGGAATGGATTATGAGATTTCATGGAGTGAGTGAACATAAGTAACCAGTTTATAAATGGTTCCTTAATTGTAGCAATTATTAATGAGAAATAAATAAACTGTCTAATGACAGAAAGTCAACTCCGTAACTGGCTCACATGTTTGAGTTTTGGAAGTATCCCAGTCTTCTGCTGAGACTAGTAAAATCCTTTATAAGAAAACCACCAAAAAGCTGTGGAGGCTACTCAAGTGTACAGTAGAAAACCACTGAAACATCAATGAGAAAATGGTGCTAATTGAACTCAAATCCTGAAAAGCGGGACAAGGAAGTGTTTGCTTTTTATATTCTACCAGCAATTTATAATAATAATAATAATTTTTAATTGCTATTTTTAGGTAGGAAAAAAATGCTTAGTTGTAAAATACTGTGTTTTGTGATGCTTAGTGGAAATTGTGAGGCAACATTGTGTTCATGCCAGTTACATGGTACAGATAGATGCACTGTGAGGGTTTTTAATGTGTTATCCTGATTTTGACATTTCTAGGTACTGCCATTGATTATTTATATTTTGATTTGCCCCTGAGATGCTATTTAACAGACACTGTCAGTCTTGCTTGAGATAGTGCTCAAGCATAGACATCACAGATATCAACTTATTAGTTTAGGGATAAAATTGTTAATTTGTGAAGCCTGGCAGATTCTCAGAATGTTGCATCACAGTGTCCACAGAAGAACACTAAGCTTGAAATACTGAAATTTATGTGATTTTAGTTGGTGATTACATGCTGAAATCAAGATGGAGCACTTGACCAATGTGTGTTCAGGAGAGTTCAAAGTCAGCTTAAAATACTCCTACTATTCTAAAGCAAAAAAAAGAAGATCAAATACAACTTAAAAAAAGAAAAAAGGAAGCATTCTTTTTCTTCTTCTCTTCTTCTGCTTCACAGATCTCCTTTTCAGTAAAACAGACAAATATTTTATGACTAATTTTTATGCTAAAATGTTGTTTTTTACGGTGTTTGAAAACATTTTAAGTATCCAAATTTAGCTTTTAGGGGTTTTGTAAGACACTCTTGAAATTCATCTTGAACACTACGTCATCTTAGGCTATGACCAGCATAATCACCTAAATGAAGACTGTATTGTGACTAAGCAGTAAAGATCAGTCTTAGGAAATGATTTGCACTGAAATAGTAGTGCATTCATTGGGTAGAAAAAAAGAAACGTGAACAGACTGATTAGTATTTGACAGTTAGGATGTTTCCAATTATGATTTTATCAAGGCAGCCTTTATTATTGCCGATGATTGTTCCACATTTAATGTCCATGTTATGCAAATCTAAATGTTTGCTGATTGTATGGCACTTTGGATATCAGCAGGGTCTGATGACTCTGCTTTCGTATACAAACACCAGTGTCCAAGACAAATCCTAGCTCAGATGTTTTCTGGTACCCTCTAGCTCCAAATGGATATTCTACAATGCTATGAAGTTTTTCTGTGCAAGAAAAACTGGTTCAATCATATGAACGCTCATATTTTTAAAGGTGTTTAAAAACTGAAAGGATGTAAAATCCCAGAGACTAAACTGTCTTGAGAATGGAAGTGAGATCTTGGAATGACTTGAGAATATAAAAAATGCCAGTCTGATTGCAGTCCTTTCAGGTAAAGAAAAGACTTCATATTGAATATGAAAAGACCTTTAAATCTATCCAAAAAAGAAACAGTTAAATAGAATACACTCAAATGGAAAAAAAAGCAGACATTTCTAACAATGGAGAAAGTTAAGCAGCAATCCACAACATGTGAAATGATGGATTTACTGAATCTCTTGAAGTTTTCACAGTAAGACTTGAGCACCTTTCTCATCAATAATACTGATGGAGCATCTGGGTGAATTATAAGTATTTGTGAAGTGCATGAAGTCACAGCATAAAATAAAACTCTGCTTTTAAGCTGTAGGGCTTTGTTTACCTGTGGATTTCCTGATGGCTGAATTGTAGGAAGTGAAGGAGGAAATAAAAATAAACCAAATATTTATCAAGGAAGATGAAGAAGAGAAACAGGTCCTAGCACAGTAGTTAGAAGAACAGTTAAAAACATGTGAAGTAAAGCAAATGGGCAAATTCTGTTCTTAGATGCCTACATATTCAGATATACCAGTGTAAACATGTCTATGTGAACAGATGAATTTTATACCCTACAATGAAAAGCATTACCTGCAAGGCCATTTAATTAGGAACAATTCTTTTAACACAAAGAAGAAAAGAACTGCAACAAAAGAAAGAGCAAGAGTGAGGAGATAGACCTAAGTAGCTCTGGCTCTTTGGTGGAGTAGAAATGTAACTTGAGAAGCAAGAAATGCCTTTATTTTGCATTTCTTTTTTCCATAGTAAATTATCATTTGTTTTCATAGTTAGTGTTTGGCATCTTTCAAAGAGTCTTTTCTGAACCTGCTACTTGTCAGCAGCAATGAGTTATGACTGAGATAAGGGCAGCAGGGTAACCTGTGCAGTCATGTGCCCAAATAACTGAATTCATTACCAGTGTGGCACTTCTGTGGCCATCAATGCCAAAATGCCCTTGCCAGTGCTGCTTAGGCAGCTGGGTGGGATGGGAACTTTGGAAAGAAAAAATCCTTTCCCTTTTGTGTTTTCCATCAAAAGAGGCTGACTCCAATCAGAGGAGTCCCATCCTTCTCAGAGAGTGCAGACAGCTGCTACCCAGCTTGTCATGTCTCTGGGCAAAATTATTTTTTTATTATTTTTGAAGCAATAGTCTGCAAAATTTTATTATAGGGGCACCTTATGCATCACCAGTAAGGATAACAAAATTAGGGAAGACCTCTGTCCAGGAATCACTTAGAAATTCAGCACAAAAAAACCAAAACAAAGCTTCTGAGTGTACATTCGTAATCATCAAAACATAAGTTATATCATTACTTGTACAGATCTAATCTTGACCTGCTTCAGTGCATTTGAACTATTCATTCAGTTGTCAGCAGATGCAAGTTAAAACATAGTCTTCTATCTTAAGCCCTCCCTGAGGGAGTCCAGCCCATAGCCCATAGTCCAGCCCTTACTAAATACTGTGCCATTCACTGGAACAATTCCTATATAAAGGCTCCATTTAGAGAAAAAAATGACCCACTGAGCAACACCCCAAAAGGAAACACTCTTAATCTAAATACATTTTTGATGAAGTATCTGTTTCCATCCTTTAAAAGTCAGCAAGTTTACTATCACCTTCCTTATCACACCAGCAGAATGGGAATGTCCCACAGCACGGCTGCAGCCACGGCTTCCACACCACATTGTACACAGAGAGCTGCTCTGGGACTGGAGTCAGTGTCCTGCGATGCTCTTCGATGGCTCTTCCAATCTTCCTTATGACAGTGTCAAAGAGGGGCTCAGTGTCAGCCGAGAGAGGTTTGGCTTCAGAAGGGTCTTGTGAGAGATCAAACAGCAATGGAGGGTCATGGTGGGTCACACCTTCCCCAAAACATGGGCAAAAACCTCTATCATAACAAGCCCCAGCTCCGGGAGGACTGAAGATAGGGGTCACATAGTGAGCCTTCCAAATGGCTCCACCTGGCAGGAAAGAAAGAATCACAGAAGGCTTGCAGTGGTACTGGCAGTTATCACAGGGAGGAGTGAATACTTTTGTAGAGTTCGTTTCTGTTTGCACTTCAGCTCTACACTTATTAGTTGATATGGTATTTTAATTTCATTTAAAATTAGGTGTCACAGAATTAAACCAATAATGTAAAATGATTTCTGACATTTTGAAATTTCTCCAAAGTTTTCAGCAAGTACAAGCTATTAGTCACTTTGCTTTTTATGAAAACATGAAAAAAAGATTTTGGGATTCCACGGCTTGCTTCTTTTTTAAGGTAGCAGGACTACAGACAAAGGGCTGAGACAAGGACTTCTCTATGAGACAATTAGGGTACTGACTCCTCAGGCATTGCTTTCAGGTGGAGATGCGGGTGAGACCTATCCCGAGCTCCAGTAGCCTACCTGGCACGCCATGTGCCTTGAAACCACAAAAAAACCTCTTTGTCCCGTACAATACAGGCAATGCTAGTAAGTTCTTTAACACCTTACACCTGGAATTACATGAAAAGCTGCAATCCCAGAAAAAAATGTGTTAGGCCAGTGTGCCCTTCTGTAGACTGGACCTAATTTTTTGGAGAGAGGCTGTATACTCACTGTCTTTCTGGTGCCACCTCACAGCATGTAAATGAATGCCACAGTAGTGGAACAGGAACTCGTGCTCTGAGTGCGCAACCATTCCTCGCAGTAGAGGCATCAGATCCCGGCCATCAATTATCCTAACAGAAAAAACAGAGATCATCAGACTGATCTCTATACAGGACTGCATTCCTTCTGCAAACCTCTTATTGGAACTGGCAACTCTGAATGAGAAAGAGGCTTGTAGAAGATATTGGGTAGAGGCTCGATTTCAAATGTAGAGAAGAGATGACAAAGCTGTACTAACATAGATGTGCCTAGAAAAGGAGCAGGACTGAAAAAGAAAACATCAGACTCTTAGAATGTGTTTCCAAACTTTATTTTCCATTATTTTGGGAAGGAAGGAGTAATAAAGATACTTGTGTTTGTACCTGTCCTGAGGCACTGCCCCTCCAGCCAGATGAACTACTGTAGGATAAATATCCATAAGGCTTGTAGGTTCATCAATAACTGTTCCTGGAGGTAACACTCCTGGCCATCTAAATATCCCTGGAACACGAATTCCTCCTTCCCAGCCTCCCATAGCTTTTCCACCTTTCATTTAAAAAGAAAAAAAGGATTTAAAATAAATTTCATTTAAAATAAAGAGAAATTTTAGACAAATGTTACTGTACTATAAGCTAATGTTAATTTCATGAGCCTTCTTTACTCTTTTGTTTTTACTGCCAAGACCCTTCTCCTCAGCATCAGTGAAAGTGTGTACACTAGATCAGCCCCACCCCTGAATGGTTTTCTTTTTTTATTTTTTTTTACTACCTTCTATTGTTTTACAAACACATTGCCCCATCAGCACTCAGTGTGGATAAAATTTTCAGGCATAAAATGATTTCCTCATCTTTCTTCTACAATCCTATAACATACCCGTTGTTGTGAAAGCAAGGATTCAGATGTAAGATGAAAGTAGTACTAAGTAAAAAGTTATACAATCTTAATAAAAATTAACTTGTGGTTAGTTGCCTCATGAGGAAATTACAGTTTGAGAATTCATGCTTATAAAGAACACCTGCCCAGGTTAGCATTTACTTCATTTTTAAATGCCTAATTAAAATGAGACAAATTTGTTTCTCAATGATAAAATACTGTCACTCCTTAAGCATCAGTCTTATCTACACGTTAGGGGTGTCCAAAATACTTTACTAGTTGATGCTGGGTTGTCACTGTCCCTGACAGCTCTTACCTTTGTATATTCCATTCCAGCCACCCAGCTGCCTTTTGTCTTCTTGTCTTTCCAGCCATCCACCATGATCAGAGGCAAAGTAAACTAGTGTAGTATCTTTCAAACCTTCCTTATCAATAGCATCTAGAACCTGGCCTGTAAACACAAGAATATGTGTGTATTAAAAAGAAAAAAATATAGCTTAACACTACATAAATTTTAGCCTCTGACTTGTCAACATTCATCAATGTAATTTCTTATCCATGTAGGGCTGCCCATTGTTTAAAAGAAGAGTTTTTTTAAGATTAAGATATTTAGTTATTATTTCACTAATATTAATATTATTGCTTATTAAAAGCATAGAAGATTTGTGATGTACTATAATCCCTTTATTATTTGTATTTTAACAGAGTGCAACAACCACAGTCACAGGCTGTATTGTAGAGGGCAGAAGTGCCACATACTGTAAAAATATGGAAAGAAAATGTGATTCAAGGCCCCAAAAAGTTAGATTCTGCATCAGTGGTGGCTATCATGAGAAACGTGTAAAAAATGTCATGTAGCCTTACTTTATGTTGTCTAGACCGCAGTTAGGATGTGGATTACATTACTGGATGGATTCCTTTTCGTTTAAAAGTAATTCTTGAACTGTTTCTGATGTTTTTAATTTCTTGATTATATTCATGGTGTGTAAGTGTTTGACAGGTAGGTTTGAAACCAATTTCTGTGTATGTACCTAACTCTTTTGCCAGTATGGGTCCTTTTCCTCCATCATGACTGAATGATAAATAACTCGTCTTTCCCTCCAAAAAAACAGGCTGAAGAATAGCATGAATCTAATTTGGGGGGGCATACCAATTAAAATTTATGAACACTTCTGGATTTATGAATGGAGCTGAAAAATATTTATTATGCTGCTTAATGCAGCAGTCAGAAATAAATAGCGTGCTGGTGTATATCTAGAATTAATTTACTTATCGGTTTTATCACGTTCTGATCACCTACTTAGAAATGACCATAAGAGGCTGAAATTACCTGATCTCTATAAATCAAAGAAAATGAAATAATTCTCAATATTTAATAAGAAGATCAGGAGGGCTCCTTGACAGGAGCTAAGGGGACATAGTTAAAACTGGTGAACACTTGACCAAAATAAAATGAATGACCAGAAAGACTCATTTTACCCAAGACCAGAGAAAGTAAAAAGCCAATGCTATAAGCCAACAGTGCTCACACAAATTAACAGATGTTCATAAAAAGCTTAGGACGTTTTCCTACTTGTTTTTAATTATCTTCCTTGTCCTTTTCATAACAATTGTGTTTAATTACATATTTACACCTAGGTATTAGATAGTTGGAAACATTTTTAATTGCTGTGGTGACTTACCTACGATCCAGTCCATCTCCTCTACATTGTCTCCATATAAACCATGTCTGCTCCTCCGAAGGAACTTCTCTGTGGTGAGGAGAGGGGTGTGGGAATGTAAAAAGGAAAGAAAGAGGAGGAATGGCTTGTGCTTATTTCTAAGGAACAGAAATCAACATTTTGTTGTTAGGGAGGAAGGTTCTCAATGCATACAGAGGTCAGGTGTAATGAAAAATAACAATCTCTTCAGAGACATCATAGTTTGTAAGATATTATAACCCAGTGATTAGGATTTGTCTGATCAAGTAATGTTTGGCCTGTATAAAACTACCTCCTTTTTTCCTCTGAATCATAGATAGAAAACTTCTGGATTGAAGCTCCACTTTCTGCTATTGCAAACCACCACTGTGCTACTGAAGTGAAGGCAGCAGGTTCATCGCCTGCCAGCTGCTGCCCACGTACCAGACTTATGATAAGGCTACAACACAGCTCTGCTTTTCCTTCCCTGGCCCACACATGCATTTCTGACATTAGCTGCTATTCCTTAAAGCTGCAATGTTGGTCTCATTGATAGATATACATATTTCCCCAATATAGTCTAGAAATATTCAGTCTAACGCATGGAAATTTAGAAATGTTATCAGCTTTAGTGAAGCAAGGAATACGGGACATTCTTAAGCAGCAGCTATTTTTTTTGGTTTAATGATACCGTATAAATATTGATATTATTTAAAATTAGTAAGCTTAATAATACTTATAATCCTATATGATATTATAAAAACTGTAAAACACTCACATGGCAAAGTGCTGTTTAAAAGTTGCAAGGTGTTCAAGAAAATATGTGATCAAGGAAAACCCCCTTTACCTTTCAATAAATGAAATGGACTCTCTCAAGATAAGGGATGTAGTTCTGTCTGTCACCATTGGCTGCTCAGTAACTTCATGGTTTCTCATCATAATGCAGTTCCAGTAGCGAACAAACCCATAACTTGAGAACCAGGATACAAAGAACAGGAGACTAAACCCAGCAAGGCAGGTCAGTGTTTTCCAGTGGACTGGAATCAAGCCGGTCAGTCTTCCCAGGGCAGCAGTGAGTACAATGAGGCCAATCATTTGAGAAGAAAGCCAGAGTTTCCTTCTAAAAGCTCTGTCCATCTCTGGTGTTTCTGTTGGTTGGCAGTCACTTATTAGCGTAAAAGGCATCCCATAAAAATAGTCAAATCCATGATTTAAAGGGTGATGGCAATGGTCATTGCGGGATTCGCAGTTAACACCTTGATGCCACTTCCCTGAAAATACAGATTTTTAAAACGTAAAGAGAAAATATATAAAACCCCATTTTCCTCATACAAAATATTTCTCCAAAATGGTTGGTTTCATTCTGCTGGTGATGACTTCTTCATCCTACACAGAAATATACTGAGAATGTAGTGATATAATGGGTTTGATGAAACCAAACCTCTACCAACAAAGTTACTGGTGCTCTGCACGCATATTCATGCCTTTAAGCTTCTAGCAAACATAAAAAAAATGGATTATAAGGGGAACTAGAAATTTAGAAAAATTCAGAACTGAGCAAAAATATACGGTTTTTCTGGAGACCTATCAGGTAAAGTAGGAGGAAGCTGTCCTTTTTTAAGCACAGGACAAAATAACGCTGTTCTGTTGTCTCTTTACCTTCAAGGTGCTATGCAGACTTGTTTCTGAAAAGTTTTGAAGAGCTTCATGTCAGGACTGTGGCAACACTCATTGTTGGTGCCAGATTGATAAGGGAGGCTATGGAGAGTAGTCAAATAACTGGCAGCTCAGCTGCCTGTTTGTGGGATAAACCACCAGATCCTGAAAAACTTGAACTCAGGAGATCAGGATTTCTCGTGAAACTGTACATGTGTAAGTAACTTTGCTGATCATTGTATCTCCATATACTGAATGAGATTAAAAGACTTAGTTTTATAAATATTTTTGCTATTTGTATTTAGTCAAATCTTAAAAAGTTAAAGCCTCCTTCTTCTAAATGTTGAAGTCTTCATGTATCAGAAGGAACATCTCTTGACCTTTTGCAATGCAATTTTTTCTTTATTATGAACATGCAAACTATTATGATGAATGGCACATCAAAACCATGCTTCTTCTTCCCCTCCAGCCTATTCAAACAGACTGGTTAGGCACTTATATGGGGACATTGCCAGCAGGCTCATTTGGCTCAAACACTGAAGTTTGTGAATATCTGAATCAAATGAACAAAATTTATCTCTCGTCACAGAGATGTAGTTTAAATGCATTTTATGATCTCTGATGTAATGCACATCTTGGGTACTAGATCTATAGACCAAAATGAACATTTAGAATTGTATTTGAAGACTAATTTGCAACTAGTTTGTATTGTGGAGTCAGGAATTGTGCACTTAGAAGAGGATGTTAGAGTAAACCATTTGTTTAGGATATTACCAATACATATACTAGCAGCCAGCTCTAAGTAGGTTTCAATAGAATTGCTGTGCATTACAATAGGAGCAGAAAAAAACGCTTCGGAAGGAAAAAAAATGCTGTTCTTTAGATATAAATATAAGGAAAGAATGGAAGTTCCATTCTAAGTGGATGAATTCCTTTCGGCTAAAATATCTACTCAGTTTACTTCTTGAGCCAGCTATAGAATGAAACAGGTTTGTAATCAATATATAGATACATTGGTCATGAATACAGGTGCAGCTAAAGTATCCTTGAAATCCAAATGCACTCCAACACCTAAATCTCCAGCCAAGGTTGATAAAGACTTCTGACATGCTAGAAAAGACTCAAATCTCCAGAAGATAAACTAAGTGTATAATTAAGATAAATTAATCTCTGAGGGCATACGTTATGCAACATTGGCTTTTTGACTACAAAATATCTTCAAAGCATTTCCCAACAAAAAGTCTCATTATCACCTCAAGCTGCAGATTATTAATAGGATTTAATTTGCAATTAAACTAGTTGTGCTCAGGGCAAAACAATCACAAACCATTCAGGTGTAACTACTTAGTGCTCATTCAGCTGTGGTGACATGCACAGATGTTAAGATTTTTTTGCTTCATGACTTGAATGTAAAATTCTTGTGGGTTTTTGTGTATCACTTACAGCTGATGCTTCCCACCGTCCCCTACGGTGCAATTAATCAGGATCTGTCAATCCAGTTAAACTAAGTGATGCTTTTGGTGTCCATAGTGTGATTTTAGCTGAGATGCCCACAGGGAAAATGCTAGTTCATTTTGCTTCTGGGAAGTATGCAGCAGAGTCTCCCTGCAGGGCAATTCCCTTGGGAGAGTAGAGAGAAATCTGATTGTTTTTTTAGTGATTACATGCTGAAACCAAGCTGAAGCATGCATGGGCTGTTTTATGAGGTGATTAAAATGACTAATATAATATTGCTGCAAAACTAACAGGAGATGGAGCTTTAGTAATGTAGAATTTAAATAGCATGGAAGGCTTCTTTTAGTTTTGTCCTGTGTGGTTTAGATTTATTCTGTTGAATGAATATAAATCTATTTTTACAGGAACTTTTATTAATACATTCAGTTGGTTTGTACAGCCAATATTTTTAAGTGTCAGATGTAGATTTTGGGTTTTGACATTTTAGATGCTCAGATGAAGTAGGACAATTAGCTGAAAATTCAGCTCAGGAATGTTTGTGCTTTATCAGCCTGTGGAATTATGTGACATATCTAAGATAAATAATAATTTGAAACTAGATCATGACTAAAAGTTACAACTATTAAAAAGATAGAACTATAATATATAAACAAAATTCATGTCAATGCTGAAGAAGGCAATGTTTTACAGGCTGTACTGAAATTGTGGTGAACTTAGTGTCATGCTGTGTTGAAGACAAAAATGATTTCTTTGTTTCTGGTTTTAAAAGGCCAAATCCTGTGATATTATAAATTGTCTCTACTGGTTTAAGTAGCAGCTGTTCCCTTTTGCCATGAACTCTGAACTGAGTAAAACATCATCATGCATATTTAAATGGCACTCATATTTTTGCCTTTTTTTTTAATGAAATAGCATCAAATAAGCATCTTGTACCTGGCATAATAATATTCAGGAATTATTAACATATTTTCCGTTATATATTTTGACAACCAGTAAAGTTTTTCTGCTTTATCAGGTGCTTGTTCTTTTAAGAAAGGTACTATCTGGTCAGGATTTCTTCTTACATAATATTCTTAAATTGGGAAATAAAAATATTCCAACTGAGGTGTTAGCAGTTACTAACTAAAACAACTGGTTTGAGTGAGATTTGCAGGTGAAACACATTCTAGAACATTTTTAGGAGTGTCTCCATACCTATCAGTCCTGTGCTGTAGCCTTGCTTCTGCAGTATTTTGGCAAAAGTGGTTTCATTTGGAGGAAGGCCTCCTGAGCCAGCATTCCAAAAAATAACACGGTAATTATTTATAGCATCCATCCCTAAAAATAAAGCAATCTGAGTAAGTATAAGAGGCAGAGTACTTTTAGCCAACATACTTTGTTGGTTCCTGATTTCATTGAAATCACAGTGTTAAACATTCATCTTAATGCTGTTTGTTTGGGAAAATGAATCTAGGACTCTGGACAAAATTAAACAAGAGTTAAGCCTCTCTGTGGTACCCATTCTTCTTTGTACCTCATACTGAGACATCTTATTTCATTTCATTTCATTTCATTTCATTAGGAATGACACAGTAGTATAGGAGCTTTTATATGTTACAGTGGCATCCAGGCTGTATGAAATGCACTTACTTAGTGTGACTGTGTGGGCAGGGAAGAGCATAAGGAGACTTAAACCCCCCATTAGCCTCAAACTCCAGCTCACATAAGGCTACCTGGGAACTCAAGATTTCCCTGCACAGTGTCATGGCTGGTATCCCGTTTCTGAGACCCACAGAGTAGTTACCTAGCACTGCAGTATTGTCTTCACCTGCAGGTTTACACCCCATTATTTAGCATTTTATACTGGCATAACCCCATCATACAGTGTCGTGTGAAGTTCAGTCACTCCTGGTATTGTTGAACATCGCTGGTCCTGTTATAGAGGGAGAGGGTTTGTACAAGCCCACATGCATTTTCAAGCTACCAGTCTCAGTGGGAGCTGTCGTGATAAATGTAGGATGACATATCAGCTTCAAAATGCCTCAGGAATGAAGGCTCTGAAGATAATTTGCAATAGAACAAGTGTTTGAGAGTTGCTGTTAGAAACATGTAGAGCTGTTTGTTTTTCATACCTCTTCATCTCAGGGATGCAGTTTGACAGGATAGTATTTTTTCTTCAAAAACACAACTGGGAAAAATAATATAGCTGTCAAACTGTTATTTCATAGGATGGATTAATTCTGGCAGATTCATAAAGAAGTTTCCCATACATGACTCGTTCTGCACCTCGACTGGAGGGAATGGATACACATCTGCACAGATCTACTCTGCTCCCTGCAGGGCTGAGCTGTTTCGGACATATGATGAGGAATCACCCATAACAGAAATTAATATAACTGGTGCTTTAGAAATGTGTCATTATTATTATTATTCCTGTTTTGTGTAATGACTTCTTTGAATGTAACGATTTGCTCTAACTTCATTCTGGCTGCAATCTGTACAATAGAGCACCAAAAGGCAACCGAAATTGTGAGTTGGGGGGACCAAGATGCTCTGCAGAGCTGTTTTTTCTCTGCTCTGCTTCCCCCCCAATCAGTTGGATGTGCTCCATAAATATAGATGCCACCTCCAAGGTTTTAGGCCTGGCTGGTGTCTTGTGGGTCTCAGTGAGGGATGATGTGTCTGTGGCGTCCCTTCTATTTGCACACCATCATTTTTTTTTTTTGTGCCCATTGTATGACACTGTTCTCTACAGTAATAAAGCAATGTTTAAAGGCTGCTTGGTTTTGCAAGGCAAACCTGATCGGAGGGGATATCTGCCAGTGAGGAAAGCTGCTCTGCTGGGGGTGCAAAGTGGAGCCGCAGCAATGTGTTGGGTCAGTTTCACTCCTTCCTTTGCCAGGCGATCAATGTTCGGGGTCCTAAAAATGCAACCAGCACCATCAGATATCATTCAGAGGGTTTTTCAAGGGAATAAAGAATTATATACTTAATTTTATTTTGGGAAGTTTCTTCTATTTGAAGATGGTCAGGACATAATTTTTTAAAATTTATTTTAACTTTCTCAAGTGATGGGGAAATAGTTCTTTTTTTCTTTTCACATTAACATCAGTATCTGGATTAATTTCAAGCCAACCATTCCTTCTTGTTTCCCATGTCCTATGAAGAGTCCTGCAGAAATCATAGAACTATAGAATGGTTTAGGTTGGAAGGGACCTTAAAAATAATCAAGTTCCAAGCCTTCTGCCACGGGCAGGGACACCTTCCACTAGATCATGGTGCTCAGAGCCCCATCCAACCTGGTTTTGAACACTTCCAGGGATCAACAGCTTCTCTGGGCAACATGTTTCAGTGCCTTTTCTTCTCCAAAATATTTTTAAATTATATTTTTCTTACCCAGGGTTGAGGCTGAATTAACAGATAATCAATCCCACGGGGACGAGGAGAGCTGTCTCTCTGCTGGACCTGTGCTTTTTCTCTCTGCCTCAGGAAGCTCCGTAACTTGCATGAAACATGCCTAGACCTTTCATCCCTCCAGAGCTGCATTTCCTACACCAGATTTTTAAAAAACAGCATTTCCTACATCAGCTTTTTGAAGAGGAGCATATCAGCGTACAGTGTAATGGTAATTTAGTTGCCACAGGGTAACAATGCTTGACTACACAAGATGTTATGTGACTTACAGTACAGGTAAGAAAGCAAACAAAATGCTTCTCCTGATGTTTGAAATGAAGGGAAAGGGAGAAAAATAGAAAGAAATCCTGCATGTTTTCACGCTGTAGTGGCAATCTCTTGTGGCACCATGAATTAAGAGTAGTTGAGAGAAGGGTGTTTTGTAGATAACTGGCAACAGGCAAAACCAGGCTTGCCTAGCACACTAGTTACAGACGAGAGAATATCTTACATTTCAGAATACAGTATCTCCTCTTCCAATGTAAGGTATGCCTACTTCTGCTTTAAATTAGATTCAACTTCAGGTTTACAATTTTGCTTTTGCAATTAGCAGTTCAGTGTTGTTCACATGTAGACAAAATCCTCAGTAGGATCCTGGATGTTTTGTTCTTTTGTTCTGGTACTGTTATGGATTCCTCCCTTAAAGACACACTGCCAGAAAACAACATCTGCAACAAGGTTTCTTATTCTCTACAGCCTACAGCCTTTCACCAGAGGTACCGTGCAGTGTAACTTGGAAGAGCAGTTGGTATAGTTCCACCATTTAGCACAGCTGCCATCTCAGCTAGATAAACATGGCTTCTGAAAGGACCAGTTCCCAAAATGCTGCTTTGAACTCCTGGATTCTCAGCACTGTGGAGAGACAATTGCTAATAGACTCCAGGTACTTAGTCACTCCACCAATACATCCCAAATGTGCCCCACTGCTCTTGAAAAGAAATCCATGCCATGGGGATGATGGTTTGGAGGCCCAGCAGTGCAGAGCCCCATCAGGTACCTACATTTGCCAGCTGCCTATCTGAATCTTGCCAACTGAAGCTGATTAAAGTAAGATTCTGAGAAATGTGCTGGGTGAGGGGAGTGATCACAGCAAATTTGATTTTGTTCAAAGAAGTGACAAGCTGGTAGAAAGCCAGAAGGCAATACTGTGGCACGATTTTGAAGAAGGCGGCAAATTCTATGTCCTTGAGATTGAAAATAGAAGTATTTCCTAGTAACATAGCTCATTGCAGTGATTTAACTGTACTTTGATGTAAGAATGGGAAACATAACGGCAACATAAAGTTAAAGTGAGGTAATAATATGTTGAAAGAGGGGACAGCATTTGGGTATATCTTTGGGTATAGCTCTTTCTCAATGTCAGGCAATTAAAGGATACAGAAGAACAATTGGCATATTCCCACAGTAAAGCAGCTCCACATAGCGGAGCTGCCCCTGGGAATGCACTCTAGGCTCTGAAGTAATCCTAGGCAGAAGATTTGAGATTTACATTAAATATCACACCAGCTCTGTTTACCCTTACACTCAGTTTCCTTACCTGATAGTATCATTCCCATAGCAACCTACATCCCCTATGCCAAGGTCATCAGCCATCAATAGAACAATGTTTGGCTGTGTGATGATGGAAAGCGGTGTGACTGGTGGCTGCAGAAGCAGACCAAAAATCAGGGGTGTAACCAGGGGTGACCTGAAACACAGAAGAAGGAAAGAGAAGCCAATGACCTGGCCATTCATCATGCCCCCCACATGTGGCCAAAGACCCTCCAGTGTAAGCTTGGCTGCAAACTAGACCACTCAGTCCAGACACAGAGGGTGTGCTACATGTTTATCATTGACCCAAACAGATGTAATGAAAAGGAAAATGTCAGGTCCATAACTTTAAAATCTCCTTTTCTGATTGTTTCCAAGTTTCCTGTGAGCAGTCTCACGTGGGAATTTACATGTAGCACGTGACATACAAGTGATTGTGCTTCAGTGGCTTGGGATGTTTATAAGAAGTTGGTCTGGGAAACTGAGAATGGGATCAAGTTCCTCTGACATCATTCTTGACCAGACTGGGACCTTTGGGTTGTGCAAAAATTAATAACAAGAAAAAAAAAAAAACAAACCCCACATTGTTAGTGTACTTTATGGATAAACAATGCTACTCTTTTATAACACAGTACTATATCATTATTAAGCTTCACAAAGATCTAAGTATGATATAACAATAACTCATGACTTTTTTCTTACCAATAAGATGCTAGTTGCCAAATCATTTCTGCATTTGGAGTGTTCAGATCCTGCAAAACCAAGAGTACCTTGTCATATTTACATCTTCCTAGTAGTCACTGCAATAAAAATAGATTAAAAACTTTACCAAAGCCTGCTAACATTCTGTTTTATTTACTACAGTGTACCTCAGATCAGACCCTAAATGAAGAAGAGTAAAGGCATTAATGTTATTTTTCTTGCTACCACTTCTTCGCTTCTTAGAGGAATTTTTTGTTTTTGTGTAGAGAAATTTATCTTAAAACAGCAAAATAATTCTCTTTTCTTACATGACTCAGCTTTATGAAAAATACTTAGTGTTCAGAAAGAAAAGAAGAGCTTTTTAAAATCCAGTCAATGTAATTTAGTTTTCTGTGATCATAGAGAAAGTAGCAACCTGCTGCTTCTTTACATAACGTGCCAAGTTTACTTTCAGTTTTATAAGAGGTATTTGTAGTTGTAGAAATTCTAGTCATCTTTTTCCAATAATATTTTCTTAGAAGAATTTTTGTCCTCTTGTTTTTTTACTCTAAGAATGCACAGGTTTCTCTGGGGCTTTTCCATTCCATGCCAGGACAAGACAAACTGTTTAAAGGCTTTGAAATAAAGGCCAAGTGAACTTGGTTCAGAGGCTTTAAAATAGACTCTTTTCAAATTTATCCCATGTCTAGCTGAACTGTCCCAAGCATCTCAATTTTATAAATTATGTTGGTTTCATATTTTTTTTTCTGGAAATGAGGTATTAAGCAGCTTAGTTAATATCTATAGTCCTTACATTTTATCCAGCAACACTACAAGCTTTGAAGGGAAAAATTTAAACTTCTATGCTTAGAAAATCGGAATCCAAACACTTACTTACCAGTGCTGATACAGCATTGCTATGTACAGACACTCAGTTTCCTGTATTTGAGTTTGTGCCTTTGCTGCATCCTAAGTAGATATAGGAAAAGTGCTGGAGAATACCTCAGCCATCTTTTACATTTAAATACTATGTGCCTCCAAAGCAGTTGAAATAAAAGGGAGATGGAAATAATCAGATTTAATTGTGCAATTGGTTGTCACTAACTGCTTGCACTTCACACTAGAGAGACATTGATTTAAAGGCTGAGCTTCCTTAGAAGCTGCCTGTAAAACAGCAGGTAATACCAAAACCAGTTACTGCACTGGCTGGTATTATCCCTGTCAAGCCATTTCTTAGTGAAAGGTGGTGGGAGTCCAGGCAGAGAAACTTTAGCAGCTCTGGTGGGAGCAAGACAGACAGTGAAAGCAGCTTTCCCCATTCTGAACAATCAAAGGGAGCCCAGGTCCCTGCACACACAGCTGTGCAGCTCCCTGCTTGGCCCCTGACAGCTGGGACAGCAGCAAACAGTTCAGAGGATGCATTTTTGGAGACCTCTGTGGAACCACTTTTGCCAAAGCACCACTGAAGCTGTGCTGCAAGCAAACAGTCCTCTCTCTTACCTGAACTGAATTTGGCTTAAAGCAAAACTTTTTTCTCCCTCTCCCATCATTAATCCCTCCCCCAAAATAATTTAGATTTTATGCCCTTCTTCATCCCTTTTAATAATCTCAGAATGGGGACGGGGAAGGGCGGGAGAAGGGGGGAGTTTAGCTTGCATACCTTTCATATTTAATTAATTGTTTCCTGTATTGATTCTAAGCAATAAAATTCAAATAAGTATTTACCTTTCCATCAAAATACTTACAAGATACTGAAATCCCAAGTCAAGCCAGTTTGCATAAGAGAAAATATTCTTATTTTTAGATGTACTCAGATACACACTACCCATTTGCGGCATCAGTTTGGCAACACTCAGCGAAAAGTCATACAGTTAATACCACTCAATTCAGTACTGTTCAGTCTGTGAAACTTTCTTTGAAAAATTCGTATTTTGAAGACTTGGGATAGATAAAAGTCAGACTCATGATAACAAATTGTCTGCAGCTCTCACTTTGTATGTATGTTTCTATGAGAATAATGTTGTTGTAAAGAGAAAAAGAATATTTTAAAAACTTCCTTGAGATATTTTTATCTGCAGGAGCAAGAAAAAATGTTTCCAAACACCCATTAAAATTTTCCTGTGCATTTTCCAACATAGTAAGGGAGGAATACAGTACCTGGTCAAGTTATGTTCAAAGCAGGCAGTTGATAGACTGATGCATGAGCTTGTTTTCAGTCGACTAAAAACCATTCAAAATTTTTTCGGCACAAGGACTGCTGCTATGGCACAGCGTCTAGTAACTGTTTCTGGAGACAGTCCTGAAATCTGCCATAGTTGCACGTCTTACAGTTCACTACAGGAAAAGCATGTTATACCAGAACTTGCAAGCAGCTGGATGTTCTAGCTTATCCTGAAGTCCCTGAAGCTGCACATCCCACTGCTGTTTGCACAACTCATACAGCGTGTGAGGGTCAGGCTGGGGAACACCACAAATGCAGCTAAAATGCTTTCTGCCCAACCACCAGTTTCTCAAGGGACGGGAATGATCTGCTTCAAGTCTGAGACACTCCCATAAAAGGCACTATAAATAACCTTTCCTCACTTCCACCAGAGAAAAGAGAAAATCGCTGTACTTACGGAGCAGCAATTCTTTGTCTGTAGAAATAGAAACTAAGCTAATTTCTTCGCTTTATGTCAGTCCTCAGTGCTTGCAGCAGTGACAAGGTTGTCTCTGCACACGCAGTAAGAAATACTTCTAGGGTGGGGAGGAAATGCCAGTAAGAGACTTGAATTTGCTTTTTCAGAAAATGAGTCATTCAGCTTCACTTCTGAGTGCTGCCTGTTTTCTTGTCGTCACTCAAAGGGACAAATTCAGGTTACATGCTGGCTAATGCTTGCTGTTTTGATTTTTCTTGTTTGAGTCCTGCTGTACTGAGTGTTTTGGGACAGCATGAGGCAGAACTAAACAGCAATCTTGCTTTATTGACAAAATTTCCTGTGTTTTCATATCTTAAAAGAGAAGGGTGATGTTATTACGAGTTTATGGTTCATTACCAGTTGCAATGCTCAGGTTGGTTTGCTAGTGGATCACCTCTGAGGCAAATTACAGCACCATAGGTGATCCCCTCCCTCTTCCCTCCCACCCTAACAGTTGCATGCTGAAGTGGTTACAGACAACACACACAGAAGAAGTGATGTGTCCAATTTTTCTTCTCTCAGTGCTTGCTTTCTTATCCCCATCTGTGTTACAGCATCCCAGTCTGTACCTCTCTAATTCCCATTCCCCTCATTGTGCCTCTAGCACTTCAGGGATTCATTAAAGTCTATAGGATTTCTTGTTTTCTGATGCCCTATACTGCTGTATATTTTCTAAAAAGAAACACCTTCTGAGGTGCTTATGTTTTTTTTTGTTCAGACTGCAGTCAATTCCAGCAGGACTCTGCTAAATGAGAGAGGCCCCCTTGCAAATGGGGCTATCTCCACAGCTTCCATAGTTGTCTTGTGTTTTTTCCAAGACTTCTTGCAAATTCTATAGAATTTGTAACAGAGAACCACAACCTACAACTGCTATGTTATTTACGAAATTTAGAGTACAGTAGAAAATTGAAAACGTCTGCAGTTATACTGCACTGTTATTTTGTAGACAGACATCTTCCAACTCAGAGAGAGCTGGACCAGATTGGTGCTCTAACTAGCACTTGTTGAAATCGGGCTGGAAATTTGGGAATTACCACCTGGGCACACCTCTAGTGTAATGAAGGTAAAGAAGAGAGGGTAGTGCTAGTGGTCCAAGGACTTTCCTCTCAAAGTGACAAGTTGTGCCCGTTTTGGTGTTTGAAGGAGGGAAAGGATGCTTTCTCACTGGTACCACTTAAAGATGGCATCTTTAAAATGTCTTGGCAAAACTAATTCTGTTCCCATCCACTGAACTGCCTTTGCTGATTTTCTGTAGGGAAATCTTTAGTAAGTCTGCATTTGTTCAGAATGCAGAATGAATGTCGAATTTTGCAGAAGCCTTGCATAGTCCTGTCTTTTTACTCTTGTTTTCCTTACGCTGAGTACTGGAGACAGTAACACTCCATGACTGTATTAACGTGCTTCAATATCTAAGAGCCGAAGGCCCAAGTTAATGTGGTTTGATGTAAGATATGATGATTAAGAGGCTCCCTCTAGCGACTACTACCTTATATTTGTTGTTTCAGAGAACAGTTGATCGACAATCCACCTTTCTAAAAGTCATCACACAATGATGGTTTTGTGTTATTTCCCCGAGCTCTGATTTACACCAGTTCTTCAAGGCCCGGACACCCAGGAGAACTTGCAGAGCCTTACCTGTCGTCCTGGACCAAGTAGTACAGATTTGCATCATCCAGACTCTCTTTATGATCAATAGTGAAAGACAGTCACAGTGAGGGCAGTCCAGCTGTCCTATACTGCTATTCTAGGATGAGATGAAACATCCTTTGAAGATTCCAGTCTATCTTTAGTGTCTGTACAGAGGGAATTTTAATGGCTCTGTATTCAAGCTAGATTGAAATTTGCTAGTGATACAAAACCATACTGTTAGTCATTGCACTAACAGATCAAATAAATGAATACAGCATACAAAAGCATTTATGAAAGCTGTTTTTATGACAACATTTTCAATATGTTCTGAAAGGTGAGTTTGTATTTTTTAAGTTTAAGAAAAACGGTTCGATATGAATATTACTGGTAGAAGAATGTAGGTGTCTTTAATTTCTAAGACCCGTATACTTCTTATTTTCTTGGGATCGAAGCTGTTAAAAGCGAAGTATTTAGTTAGATTTTAATATGGAATGGAAAAAAGCATAACCTAAAATGCCAGAAGAGTAAGAAGTTAACATTTGGAGGAAGATATATTCTGTATTGCATTCTTGGTGTTTATTTCTCAAGAAAGGCATAGAAAGGCAGTGACACATACATGCTGTGGGAGATCATGGGAGTCCCAGAGAGCCCCATGTGAGTACTTTGAGAAACCTCGGGGTTTCTCTGAGAAACTGTTTTTTTCTGCAGCACTGGTGAGGCTTCACCCTGAATCCTGTGTTCAGTTTTGGGCCCCTCATGACAAGAAAGACATTGAGGTGTTGGAGCATCTCCAGAGATGGGCAACAAAGCTGGTGAGGGGACTGGAGTACAAGTCTTACGAGGAGCTGCTGGGGGAGCTGGAGTTGATTAGCCTGGAGAAGGGGAGGCTCAGGGGAGAGCTTATCACTCTCTACAACTACATTACAGGAGGCTGTAGCAAGGTGGGGGTTGGTCTCTTCCACCAAGTATCAAGTGATATGATGAGAGGAAATGGTCTCAAGTTGTGCCAGGGGAGGTTTAGATTAGATATTATGAAAAATTCTTCTCTGAAAGGTTTGCCAAGCATTGGAGCAGGTAGCCCATCCAGAGGGCTCCTAACTGCCTGTGCAAAGGCACTACTCTGAGCCTGCCCCCAGGGCAGCTTTTGTTGCAGGGTGAGTGAGTAGCTGAAATTAGATCCAAGTCTGTGGGTTGAATAAATGCATGATAGCTCAGCTGAGTGGAATACAGCTGAAGTCTTAATTTGTCAGGTAAAAGGATTTTGTAACAGGATTGAGTGAGAAGGTGCTTCCTTCTATAGCAGCTGCAAGTAGACAGGCACAGAGGCAGAACTCACCAGTGCCACTGCTGAGGATACCTGCAAGCTGTACTTGAAACCTAAACTTTCTTGCTAAGCAGAAGAAAAGTCCTTGTCTGTCTGGAAAGTCAAGATAAAGCAATACTATAACTATTCATGCACGTCTGACATGACAGGGCTTTGTGATTGTGCCCAGAAGGAGAAAAAATAAATTAATAAAGTTAAGTAAAAACAAAAATGGAGAAAGAAAAAGAGAGAAGCTATTGCACCTGTGGAGCTGGTCCAGCATTTTAAAATAATTGAGAGACTCAAATAAATTAATTTTCATATGTAAATTACTGTACAAATAGAGTGCTCACATGATTTACAAAACAGCCTGGGTAACACCAGCTGGCACAGCCTGTCCCTGTAGGAGAGGTGCTCCATCCCTCTCATCATCTTGGAAGCCTCCTCTGGACTTGCTACAACAGGTCAATGTCCTTCCTCTGCTGGGGTCTCCAAAGCTGGATGCAGTACTCCAGGTGGGGTCTCACCAGAGCAGAGTAGAGGGGCAGAATCACCCCCTGGACGTGCTGGTGATACTGCTTTTAATGCAGCCCAGGACATGATTGGTTTTCTGGGCTGTGAGTGCACATTGCCAGCTTATATCCAGCTTCTAATCCACCAGAAAAGATTACTTTTCGGCCAGGCTGCTCTAGATCTGTTCATCCCCCTAATGACAAGTTACAAATCATGCCATAAAAGAGTATTCTCTTTCATTTGTTTTTATATGCTATTATGTGCATATTCTAAATTTGGATAGCTACATTGTATGATGAGCTAATGTGAGTCTTATAGTCACAGAGAGAAAAAAAAATATTTTTCAGTATGATTTACCTCACCCATGAATCATTTGCATTATTAAGAGTAAAACTGACACAGAAATGCCTGTTTCTCCCCATAGTAATAGCCCTCAAAACAAGGAGGCATCCTCATCACAGATGCAGATGTCTTCATTAAATCAGAAGGATCTTGTCCTGATTGAAGAAAGCCAGTGTGATCTCCAACATTCATAAACAGCAGGGTAAGAAAATGGAACAATAAGGGAGTGTTTAGCCACAATGGTGCCTAATGTTGCCATTCTGCCTGGCTCTTCAACACCTTCATAAATGACTTGGATACAGGACTGGAAAGGATACCATGCAAGTTTGCAGATGACAAAAATTCGAAGGAGTGTTCACTCCCTCAAAGGCAGGGAGGCCCTGCAGAGACACCTTGGCAAATTACAGGACTGGGCAATCACCAAGCATATGAAATTCAACAAGGGAAAGTGCTGGATTCTGCACCTGGGATGGGGCAACCCCAGATGTTCTTACAGACTGAGGAATTGGCTGCTCACAGTTTGCAGAACAATCCATTCATGCTAGGAATATATGGATGAATAAATTATAAATCAAAATTTCTCATACCAGGGTGAGTTACATATATGTTGAAAGTGTGTAGTCTCAGGTATGTAAACAGAGAGAAATGAGAGTTAATAACAATGTGGGCCTGATCCATACTACAATAGTGACCAAAGTTCTTCAAATGTTAAAACCCACAGTTTTTCTGACATTGAGTCTAGGATGTAAAACCCAGTTCTGTGCCATTCAAAATTACTAGTTCTGTTCAACTAAATACTGCATGCTGAGAAATAAACCAGAAATATTTCTCTTTCCTTTGGTAAACCAAAGGAAGTTCAAGGAAGCAGTTTTGTTGTGGCCGTTTTGGTGTAGGGGTTTTTTGTTTGTTTTGTTGTTGTTGTTTGGGTGGTTTTTTCCCTCAAAAGCAAATGGAATACATTAGAGACAGCTTTGGCTATCTGCTAATTAGAGGAGTGGCAAATCACAGACTATATGAAGTTTAACATGAGCAAGTGCCAG